TCTCACCAAAATGATGCTCTACTTTGTGTCCCGTTACCATATAACAAGGCAAAATGTGAAAAAGCATTTTTATTTTAAAGTGCTTAATTGAAAGTTGTTAAATATTAAACCTGACATAATATAGGAGGAATGCATTATAAAATAATCAGTCACATGCATAAAAAAGCAGCCCCACCTTAATCTGCAGGATGGTCCAGAGACTGTAGGCTACAGTACGTCACAAAATGACAATTTTAAAACTATGCAAATAAAAAGAAGTCAGTGACTTGCAGCTGCCTATTTATTTGGTTTTGTGCATTTTAAAAGTTGCTAATGCAGAGGAAGGAGAACTAGTATCCGCACCCTAACCTTCGGATGCATCTGCTCTGTAGGGCTGATGCAGAAATATTGAGCAAATCTGGATTCCTTAACCGTTTCATTGCTTTGGGCAAGCCTACTGTGCAATACCCAGAATTCACCACATGGTGGTGGTGTTGATCTGTTTACATACGTTCCACATTACATTTAAGCTGTAACTCGCACTTGAAAATGAAAAAACCTTGTTCAACTGTTGTAAATTAATCTTAATAACAAACAAAACGATACACACTACAAGTAAATGACGTCATGAATTGATCAAGAAGAAGAAGTTACTCAAGCATAAGTTGTCTATTATTCTTTTGTTTCAAATAACATAAAAAACATAACATACAGTAATTACACCATATAAATATATATATATATATATATATATATATATATATATATATATATAAAATAAATTTTTTTTTGGTAATAATATTTCAGAGGTTGTATCAGAATCTGGGTAAAAACAGGACATGTTTGCTGGATCTGCAAGGGATGTGCTGCAAGCTGGATTGTCGTGAGATCTGAGTTTTCAATCTAGAACTCAAATCAGTTGTACACATATCAATCCGGGTACTGCCAGGTTAGAGATGTTACTCTTTTATGTCTAAATAACCACAGAACAATATAATACTTAGACCCAAGCTTGAGTTAGAAAAAAAAAACTGATTAATTAAAAAAACGAAAATAAATACACGTTAGAGGAGTTGCATATGAAAATACCAGCACAGCAGCAACTGGGATGGTCAATAATGGAGAATGAGGCAGTGAATGATGAGAACAGGTAAGCTAATGTACTACAGTATACTACAGGTGGAAAGATCACAAGTGGAGAGCTGTTGAGTGGAAATGAAAAGCAGCTTTATTATGTTTTAACAGCTGCACAATTTCCCCTCTGCATACCATTACAGTATACATGGCCCCATTTAGAGGTAGGGGTTTTATCTGTGAGTTAGGTCTTGAACACATTTTCTGTTCTGATGCATGTGAACTAAACAGAGAGACCATTTCATGCCATTTGAGTTTGTCTAAATTCCATTTAATCCTGCGTCAGACATGAAGGCCTACTAACGTTTTTTGTTTTCATTGGATGGCAAAACAACTATTGTACAGGAGAGAGAAGTGGGGGAACGGTATGAAATTGAAACCCACAGAATTCAACAATGTAAGTGCAATGTCATGTGTTGCTAGTGCAGCCTCAGATAATGGACTTTTGAAATCCGGACCTAATTCAACCTGGAGAAAAGTTGAGAGAAAAGTTGCACATAGAAAAAATTTGCAATTAGGAAATATTCAATTTATTTAGGCAACGCAGTCGTATTCTTCCTTTTTCACAGGAAGAAACCTCCAGCAGAACCAGGCTCAGTGTGAGCAGCCTTCTGTCGAGGCCGACTGGGGTTCAAGGAGATATAAGCAGATGAAGACATAGACTAAATAAGTTCTTTGGCACTCGGACCCTGGCAGAACACTTTGATGCTGTGCATCAATATTCGCTTGGATGAGTAACCTAGAAAAGGATTAGAGTAGTCTTCCCTCGGAGCCAGACACTGTCGGTGGGGGAGGGGGCAGAAGTTTGCTTGCATGCGGGAAGGAGAAGCTGGACAAGGAGCTAAATGAAGGGGATCTTGCAAGATGATTGGCTTCAGAGAAGATGTGGCCCCCCGAGTTGATTGGCCGGAGCTAAATGACGGACATCACAGGTGGTTCAGGTGAAGCTGATAAGAGTCTTCTAGATTTAATTTCTGCTTAGCTTCATATCCAACAGAAACATGCTGCCAAAACTAGTCTTGAAAATTTTAAATCTAACTAGGCTTTAGTGATTCTGCAATCAATAAAAATATAAAAAAAAAAAAAAAAAAAAAAAAAATTTCTGTGTGATATGGGAGAAAACATAATTCTGAGAATTATTAACTACGTTAATGGGGCCCTGAAAGCACAGCAACATTTTTTTTTTTCATTATTGGTACAGACCATTAAAGCCACGTATAATTTCCTTTTCACTTCCTGCACCTACCTTATGGTACTTACATTTTAATAATATTATTTTGTAACTAAGGCCTATGAGCAGCAGCTCTTACAAAATGTAGTTACCTAAGAGCAAGAGCTTCATTACCAAACATTGACCACACATACATGGTAAAGTGAGTTTCTTCTATATACATGCCTGATCTAATAATTCTTTCTATCTCCTGAGCGCCATTTTGAGGACTGGTAAAAACAGATAATATCTGGAAACTATTGGTACTTTGCTCCACTTAAAAAAAAATGCCCATGCACAACCCTGTACCCGCTCCCGAGAGGGAACGCCTATTAAACGCATGCGAGAGCATGCACCAGCCCATTTCTCCTCGTGCATGCTCTGTTTAAAAGTTGCTGTTTGCATCGCTCATACAGCAGCAGAAGAAGAAAATACAGTAGAAGAAAATCCTCCACTATGCCTCTAATATGGCTGAAGTTTAATGGTGATGGTTTTTTTTTCAAATAACTGCTAAAGTAAATTGTAAAAGTGAATAATCAAATCAATCACATTGCAAAAATTCTCCATCTAGCCAGGCACTAGCCAAAAAATGGGTTTGATACTGTTTTGAGATCGATACACTAAGCAAAAGCAGATCAAGTTAAATTATTAATACTAATACTTATTAATACTAATCTTCTTTTTAAAAGTTTCTTATTAAAAACTAATGCAATTCAGTGAAACAATTCTCAATCTCAAATCAAGATCGAAAAGACTATTTGGCTAGATTGTGAGACGTTGTACACTTTTGCACTGCAGCCCCTGCTGTTAGTGCATATCATCACAAAAACATATTCTAGTATCCATTTTCCTTCCATTGCGAGGGGTGCAGGTTCCTATCTCCAGCTGTCTACAGGCGAGAGGCGGGGTACAATCTGGACAGGTTGCCAGTCCATGGCAACACACAGACAAACAACCATTCACGCACACACCCACACCTAAGGAGAATTTAGAGAAGCCCATTAACCTAACAGTCATGTTTTTGGATTGTGGGAGGAGCCCGTATATATATATATTTTAGTATAGCACTGTAAAAACTGATGTAACAACCTGAATATGTCTGAAAATAACCATATTCGCCCTCAAACTCTAGACAGGGGCGGAGCTACATCAGGGGGCAGGGGTGGCCACTACTGTCTCACTACCGCCAGAGTTAGACATCATACATAACTATGGAAGAGGATTAGGGCCACTGGAAAAAAAACAACAGATTTTTGAATTTTATTTCAGTATATGAGAAAAAAGTCAGAATTCTGAATTTTTTCTCAGAATTCTGACTTTTTTACTCATAATTCTGAATTTAATCTCAGAATTCTGACTTTAATCTCAGAATTGTGGATCTTAATGTAGATGGGAGCCATGAAGGAAGAGATGTGGAAGCACTCAGATTCACTGACAAAGATGTGAGTTTTTTGGGAGGGCCAGTGACACATTGGCAGAAAATCGCGCAATTAGGCAACTTTTCACGTGCTCGGAGGGTCCCTGGTGATGCTATTTCATTAATGGAAGAGCAGAAGGTCATTAAAACAAGAGAGCTAGCCTCAACAACAGACATGCTTGATGCTAACATGTTTGTTGAGATCAAAGTCAGAATTCGGAGATTAAGTTCAGAATTATGAGGAAAAAAAGTAAGAATTCTGAGAAAAATGTCAGAATTCTGAGATTAAAGTCACGATTCTGATTTTTTTCTCATATTACACTGAAATGAAATGTAAAAATCAGTTAACTTTATTTTTATTTTTTCAGTGGCCCTAATTGTCTTCCATAGTTATGAGACACTAGAATGATGTCTAACTTGGGCGTTTGTAGTTACACATTAGTTAGATTAAAGTCAGAATTCTGAGATTAAATTCAGAATTATGAGAAAAATGTCAGAATTATGAGATTAAAGTTAGAATTCTGAGATTAAAGTCCGAATTTTGACTTTTTTCTCATATTATACAGAAATAAAATTTAAAAATCAGTTAACTTTTTTTTATTTTTTTTTTTAATGGCTCTAATCCTCTTCCAGGGTTATGAGAGAGACACTAGAAAGATGTATAACTTTGGCGGTTGTAGTTACACATTAGTTAGATTAAAGTCAGAATTCTGAGATTAAATTCAGAATTATGAGAAAAATGTCAGAATTCTGAGGTTAAAGTCAGAATTCTGAGATTAAATTCAGAATTATGATTAAAAAAAATCTGAATTCTGAGATTAAAGTCAGAAGTCTGCCTTTTTCTTATATTATACTGAAATAAAATTAAAAAAATCAGTTAACTTTTTTTTATTTTTTCAGTGGCCCTAATCCTCTTCGGTACATACAGTAACGTCCACTCAGCAGTAGAGGATTTTTAAGTAAATGCTTTACCTTGACTGAGTTTTTTTTAATGATATGATCATGGTATTGCTTCTTTTACTTTTGATTACAGTTTCTGGTAACCATCCGCAGCTCTGAGGAGAAAATAGTTCCCTTTTGATAATAATTGGTGTTAGCCCTAAATTGAGGGCTTTAGATGAGAGGAGGGGACAGGATGAAAACATCTCCTCCCTGTTAGCCATCTTCGTCACACTGACTGCTTCCCTCTGACAGACGGACTCAGAGCTCAGTACCGCCTGTGGGCTGAACGTACGCTCTTTATTAACACACACACACACACACACACACACACAAAGAAACATATTTTAATTCAAAAAGGTCTGTCGGGTCGAAGCGAAAACAACCTTCCACCGAGCAGAGTAAATGAAGAAGATGCGGAAAACGTCGGAAAAGCAGCTTATTGAAGGAGCTGTCGACGGTTGAAGGTTTGTAGCTTTGCTAGCTAATCCGGAGCTGACTGCTGGACTTCAAGCTGAACCGAGTTCACTTCTGGAAACTCACAGCGGCAAATAACCCGGTAAGAGTCTGCTTATTACCATCTATCTGCTAACGACAACTAACTAGCCTCTCGGGTTAGGTTTAAAGATGCAGTCTGGCCGTTGCTGATTTATCTCTATGTCCTTTGGTGAGTTAAAATGCAAGCTAATAAACTAGATATGCTTTCAGAGAGATGGGGGATTAAAAAAACAACCCTATAAGGTTCAAAATGAGATTTAAGTTTCTATTTGAGTTGTTTAAGATGATAAGCCCATTTTCAGGGTACAAACTGATCCATATGAGTCAATGTTTGCTTATAGTTGAATTTCTGTGATAATATGTGTTTAATATAGTATTTTTGATATATGAGCCTGTCAAAACAAATCAAATGATGCTTCCTGGTTATGAATTTAAGTTTCTGTTTTTGTGTTTTTTGATTTACCGTTTGTTTAATGCTGCTTGCTTGGCCAGTTCACTCTTAAAAAACTGTTTTTAATCTTTAGATCTTTTGTTGAATAAAGGATACATACATGCACATATTCATGTTAAGCAGCTGAGGAACTTTTAAAGCTAAAATGCTGCAGTAAATTGTAAGTTTTCTTAAATGTAACGGTAACATTTTCATTTAGTTTTAAATATTTGCATGAGGTTTGGTTATTTTTCTGTGAAAAAGCAACATGCCCATGCATGATAACATTTTTGCCACATTGCTAGACAGCTTTACTTGTATGACACATGCATGCATAACTGCACTGCCAATAACTGTTTTGGCGACATGATCTGATCATGAGGAAATCAGTCTGCTATCCTGCAGGAGACACATTTTTTAAATTTCCTTATTTGTTAGTTTCCAAATTTAAAGCCTAATTTGCATGCATCACTGACTGCATCTTCTTTTGTGCCCTTTTAATGCTGTTTGAAATTCCCAAATGATTCGTAATAATGTGGCAGAAGGAAAGCAGGAAAGCTACTCTTTTTAATATACGATTTATTATTATTGAATACATATTGTAGTAAAAATGTATACTCAGTGCATTACACATATTCATTGTTTAACCTTTTAAAATCAACTTAAGCACACGTCATTTGACTTTTTGCTAGAGATTAATGTTCACTGCAATGAACAAGCTGCTCTTAACCCTCACATGTTGAAAGGTTAAGTTAGACTTTGCTTCAAAGCATTTGAAAAGGACCAATAGAGTTCTTTGGATAGATACATTCCAGATTAACCAAGGTAAGAATAATGGCAAGCTATTAAGGAGGCGTGGAACAACTCACCAACCTAAGCGTACTAGATTATCTGTAAAACACGGAGGAGGCACTGTGATGCTTGGCTGTGCTTTGCTGCCAGAATCCAGTTAAATGAAGTCACATTGAATTGGGCAGTATTCCATGATACAGATGAACAATAATTGATTATATATAACCAAAGTATGATGGGATTATTTTTTGTTTAGCGAAGGAGTAAAAAATTATTGAACTGCAAAGTCAGACACTTGATCTTAACAAGTGAAGCATGAAGTTCACTTGTTTAAGAACCAAACTTCGGCAGAAAGCCCCTCAGACAAACAGCAACTGAAACCCGCCGCAGTAAAGACCCTGCAAAGCAATCAAAAAGAGGAATTTAGGCTTTCTCTGCCAGCAAAAGATTTATTATTATTATTATTTTAAGTATAATATAAGTTCTAAAATGAAGTGATTGTGTTAAAATATTTTTCTCACATTTTTATTTCATCCTTTATTCATCCTATTGAATTTAAGCTTAAAGTCAGCACTTCAACTAAATTTAAGTAATTTCCTTCACAATTCATTATGTAAATATGCAGAGATATTAAACCAAGATTAAAAGGAGTTTCTTCCATCATAATATTTATTTACCTGCCTGTAAGATTAACGTATATATGTATTATGGCTGCACAATATTCTAATGTTTTAATATGTGATTAAAGAAAATGTTGATACATACCTATCTTGCGATAAGTAAACCATGTTCATGTCTTTTGGATTTGCATTTAGGCAAACAGAGTCCCCAAAATGTAGTTCAGCTACTGGTAAAAAAAAAAAAAAAAAAAAAAAATTGCATGTCAGAATGTTGCTGTTTAGACATTGAAACGACTCAATTGTTGGTTCTTCACCTCTAGAATTGTCCAGCTAGAAGTGTTACATCTAGAAGTTAGAATGGAAGCTGGATCCCAGTTTGTTGTTTTGATAATTCTAATACCCTAGAATGCTAAGCATGGAAGTTGGAATGACTTAGCATTAGTCTGTTTTAAAGCTACAGTGTGTAATAATTACAGGGATATATAGTCAGAAATGTAATATATTATACATAACTATGTTATTTATCATCATCTACGAGCTTAGCCTCTTAACCTTAATATTTGCGTTGCCTTAGAATTTGTTTTTTATAATTACATAGGAGCGGGTCTCGCAGCCATGGAGGCAGACATCTTTGCGCTACGGCAGTGCAGAGCCAACAAACTAGCGATTGCGAGATCGCCCATTACGCTCGAAAGTAACTACGGCAAGTTGAGAGAGATGAACTGAGACGGTACTGAACAATAGATGGCAGTATATACTATCTGTAAAATTATCTATGTAAACAAACCTCATCACTTGAGAAGGTAGGTGATGCGGACGTCGTGGAAGACATTTTGTCCCATAACGCTCGCCGTACTGTTGGGGGGGAGAGACGGTGGGGGGGAGATGTTCATGTCTCTGCGGTCTGCAGTCTGGACGTTAGATGTCGCTGAAAATTACACACTGTAGCTTTAAGTATAGCTTCAAAACAGAGAACTGCAGCACACCTCTACTCATTCTTGTGCTGGTCCTAGACAAGGTTTTTAAAAAAACTTTTTTCCCCTTATGTGGAGCTCCCACTGGTGACTTGAGTTGAGCTGGATACTGGTTACTCCTGAGTATCCACTAAATCCATCTTGAATATAACACTTTGATTGTTTGCTAGGTCAGACCTGTTCAACATGGGCACTCCAAAAGAGCGCAGGAAGTTTATACCTGGAGTAAATTTAGGAAAATAGGGCATAGGCTTATAGATACATTGGCGATGAACTATTGAGGTGTCAGTTTGCTCATCAAGCAATGTTTTAGTCGTGAAGGGAAAAATAAAATGGCTGTTTTAAAGCAGTTCTAAAAACTTTCAGTTTTGGGTTCATTTGGCTCCTCCCATTGGACAAAAGCTGTAGTGTTTGTCTGAAGGAAGACCACATTTCCCATGTGTACCAGTGCGTAGCGTGTCAAACTCCTGATGTCCCGGTCGCCTGCGGTTGCATTGAACTACATTTCTGTTTCCAGTGGCTTTGTGGAAGATGAGTAATGTTGGCAATGAATTTAATTGTGGAGAAACAATTTAATACAGAGATGTTGAAAATAACAGATGTTTAACTTTGGTTTTGTACCATATTCCTGCATCGATCCCCACCTGACTTGTCAGCAACTGATATGCTGACAAGCCTGAACCAGATAAACATAATAATATGTTTGATCATTTGACAGTAAACTCACGTATAGATCTCAGCATGAAGGTGCCTTATTTCCTGAATATCAACTCTGCACAAATATACTTTCTTACTTTCTTATGAAAGTTAAATATTTCATAAAGCAGTCTGCACATTTGTAGATGTTTTGCATTGCAGAGTTACTGCCCCCCTTCTCAAAGTTGCTTAGTGCTGGTGAAAGCGGTACAGATGCCCTTGGGACATGACAGCAGTGTGATTGTTCTAGAAAAAAGTTAAAGAAGGTTGAAAAGTTACTTAGTGTTGGTTTAAAGATATTTTAATATTAGATAAAATAAAAACTTGGATAATTGTTTTTGAAGAGAAGAAGTGGGAAAGGGGACTGGATTTTGTGCAAGAAGCATGTTTAGTTAATGTCAACTATTCATGTATATAAGGTGTCAAAGTAAGAAAAATAGTTTATATTTATAGCAAATTCATCACTTTATACAGAGAGAGATTTAGAGTTTGTTGCATTTTAATTGGGTCCTAGTCATAAAACAGAACAGTTCATTTAGTTAACCATGTGAGCTGGTTAAAAAACAAACCGACAGCATGAAATCACTGACTAGCATGTAGAGAAAGTTTGCTCCGCTGTGCTGTTTACCCCATTTACACTACCCTTGAAAAACCGTGCAGAGACCGGTCCGAGCTCAGTAACTGAGATAACTTATTTTGTGTAAATGGAAAGCAAACTGAACTGAACCGAGCTAGACACAACCGGACCGTGCTAACTGTAGACCAGTTCCAGAGGTGGGCTCGGCTCGGTTTTTCCCTGGCTCGGTTCTCTGATACCAAGAGCGCATGAGCAGAACGCATCATCTCCGTCTGGCTGCACATCACGATTCACACTCCAATTCAGTAGTTGGCGGTAATGCCCCTCCGGAAGTTGCTTGCCAACCAACACAAAACAGAAGAAGAAGAACAACTATAAACATCCACGAAAGTTTGCCGTCTTCGCCTGACCCTCCGCAAACACAGAAGTACAGCAATAATAATCAAGCATAACTTTCTAAATGTGACGGGCGCCGCCATTTTAATTTGCTTGATTCCCTTCTTCTTCTTCGTCTTCTTCTTCTTGTGTTTTATGGCGGTTGGCAAACAACTTTTGGTGCATTACTGCCACGAACTGCTTGATTTCCTCCTTCAATACTGGCAGTAATACCGCAGATCATCGATAGGAGGCGAGGAGTCGAGGAACTGAGATAGCGTGATGTGTAAACGGTCGTCAAAACCAAGCTCGGCCTGGTTAACTGATCCGAGCTCGGACCGGTCTCGGCATGGATCGGTTTTTCAAGGGTAGGGTAAATGGGGTAGTTAGGGTTAGTTAGGGTCTGCTACAATCCTTCATACCGAGTATGCATGGGGTGACCATGGAAAGGAAAATGTACTTTGAACAGGGAGGAACCTGAAGCTGTTTTATAGAGAGGTGAAGCAGAGTTTGGACATATAGCTTTGGTCAGCAACAACAGCAATTCTCCATAACTAGAGAGTTGTAGGAAAAAGCATTAGAGTGAGGAAAAAGGTA